ACTGGTGAGACAGAAATGTCACTATTTATTCTAATTATGTATCTTTACTGGTGAGACAGAAATGTCACTATTTATTCTAATTATGTATCTTTACTGGTCAGACAGAAATGTCACTATTTATTCTGACTATGCATCTTTACTGGTGAGACAGAAATGTCGCTATTTATTCTAACGAGGTATCTTTACTGGTGATACAGAAATCTCACTATTTATTCTAATTATGTATCGTTACTGGTCAGACAGAAATGTCACTATTTATTCTAATTATGTATCTTTACTGGTCAGACAGAAATGTCACTATTTATTCTGACTATGCATCTTTACTGGTGAGACAGAAATGTCGGTATTTATTCTAATTATGTATCTTTACTGGTGATACAGAAATGTCGCTATTTATTCTAATTATGTATCTTTACTGGTCAGATAGAAATGACGCTATTTATTCTAACTATGTTTCTTTACTGGTCAGACAGAAATGTCACTATTTATTCTAATTATGTATCTTTACTGGTCAGACAGAAATGTCACTATTTATTCTAATTATGTATCTTTACTGGTGACACAGAAATGTCACTATTTATTCTAATTATGTATTTTTACTGGTCAGACAGAAATGTCACTATTTATTCTGACTATGTATCTTTACTGGTGACACAGAAATGGCGCTATTTATTCTATTTATGTATCTTTACTGGTCAGACAGAAATGTCACTATTTATTTAATATAATGCAAAACTGTAAAATTCCAACAATCTCAATAAGAACACATTATTTTCTGAATTAACAGCATATCAAAAAAGTCCAATGAAATTTGAGCACCTGTTAGTTAGACGGAGTCGAAATAAATGTTCCAGATTTTGGTAGTGTTACATCTTTAATACAAAGTTGATCATTTTGCAAAGAAGTCTGATCAAACCATTGCTAGGGGCTGTCTTAAACTTGCAGTAAAGAGAGATGTATTTGTATACGCCCGTTTACTGGACTTATTATGGTATACCGTTTTCCTTCCGCCTGTCCATCCGTCCGTCTGTCCGTTTGTCGTCAACATGTCAGACATTAACTCAAAAACCAATTTGCATGAAACTTTGATGAATTGTTTATATCTATTGACATGAGCTCCCTTTCGACTTTTATAAATTTTTGATTTTACGTTTTCGCTTGTTGGTCAATGATAAGTTTTTGTGTTTTGGTCTGTTTTTCTGTTTATTGAGTGCTATAAACATTAATTTATTTTCCTGGTTCATTGGTCAATGTCAAGTTTTTGTGTTTTGTTCTGTTTTTGGAAGGTGCTATAAGGTGTAGGTCAACTATGTTTGGTGTATGAAATGATTGTAATGTGCACATGTAGGTCTGGCGGGTATCATCTGACCTTGACCTCATTTACATGGTTCATTTGATCAATGTTAAGTTTTTGTGTTTTGGTCTGTTATATTAGGTACTTTGATCAATAGGTTAACTATGGTTGGTGTATAAAATTACTGTAAGGTGTACATGTCGGTCTAGCGGGCATCATCTGACCTTGACCTCATTTTCATGGTTCATTTGTCAATGTAATTTTTTTGTGTTTTGGTCTTTTTTCCCTAATTACTCAGTAATTCAGCATTAGGTCAAAAAAATTTGGTGTATGGAATAACTGTAAGAGGTACATGTTTAAACATGATTATGATTAGTCTGGAATGTACAATCATAAGACCTGTAGGTAACTGTCTTTACAGCGCATTCGCGCTTTGATTTTCCCTCCCTGTTGAAGGCCTCACTGTGACTTTGAGATGATGAACAGTAATAAAACCACTGTTCCTTTACTCTTTGTGTGTTTTTTTGCTGTGCATGTACTGATTTTGTGTCATGGGTTGATACCCCATATCCTTTGTTTTTCTATTAGCTAAACCACTGGACGTTAAGCAACCAACAATCAATCAATCTATTAGCTAAAATGATAAAGCAGTATCATTACAAAGTAAAGGGAAACTCCCATGTTAATTAAATAACATTGTAAATGTTTTAGTTTGTCCTGCTGGGACCTTTGGCAATTTATGTCAACAGAAATGTACATGGTGTGATGAAGGACAATTCTGTGACCACATCACTGGTCAGTGCCTGGCTATTATCTGTCCACCTGGTTATACTGGACATACCTGTCAGAAAGGTAAGTGGTCACATATAAAATGATATTAAAGACAAGTGTAAATAAAAATCAATGAGACAGCAACCCAGTGACACACAACAACTTTGGGTAAGATACTATTCTGAAAACATTTTTGTCAATTAGATTCATTCTTTGGGAAATGAATTTTTCCAGAGGTATCAATCTAGCAACTTCTCCAGATACTCTGGAAAAGTAATTATTCAAAGGTTTTAAGGTGTCAATCTAAATCGAAGGCACTTTGTTTTATTATTTTCACCAACAGAGATTTGAGAATATTATTTTGTAAAGTTATATCCTATTATGGAGATATGTCCTAACCTGTTGATTGGTGAAAAAAACGGTCACTGGTTCTGTCATTCATAAAATTGACCAAATGAATGAAATCCACCCATCAATTGTAAAAGCTGGACAACACTCTGTACTTTATTTTTGGCTTTCAACAAATGTTTCAATAGTTGCTACTTTCATTTTCTACTTTCAGTTTGTCCTAAAGCTACAGCAGGCATTGACTGTTTAGACAAATGTTTTAACTACTTTCATTTTTTACTTAAGGTACAACATAATAGACTGTTATACAAATATTTAACTACTTTCATTTTTCTACTTTCAGTTTGTCCTGAAGGAACAGCAGTCATTGAGTGTTTAGACAAATGTCCTAAGTGTGACAATGGAGGGTTATGTGATTATAAATTAGGAAGGTGCATCTGTTTACCTGGCTTCAGAGGAGATTTCTGTCAAGCTGCTGGTAATTAATTTTCAAGATCCAATTTCTTGTTTAGAGATGGCAGTGTGTTAGGCCAATCAAAATCAATTGGTAGATGTTCATCCCCGCCCGTACACCGTACACCAATAATGCTAAAATCATCCCCGATGGATTATTTTTTTTACTGTTACCGTTAATCGCACTAATAATTTCGTTTTATACAAAATTTCCTATTGCAAAATATTGACATGGTTTTTCGTATTATTTCAAAAAGTTTAACCAGAATGATAAAGGCGATCTACAATGGTTAAGTTACATTCCGAGTAAGAGAGATTGGTTATGGTAAGGGCCTGAAATATTTGGGTAATTAGTGGTCAAAGAGAGCAAAGTACGTCACAAATTTCAATGGTCAGGAAATATTTGACCATAAATCCCCAGGGATGATATCTAAAGCGGAAGATTGATGGCACACATTGGTATGTAAAACATGACTGGAGTAAAGACATCAAGTTGACACTATTACAAACTTGTGCAATGTATTACATTGTTTTGGATCATATAAAACGTCAGCCAATGTATAACTCGAAAACTTTCAAAATTATCCTTGTTGACAAATACCCAAGACCCTCTAGCCCCAACCACTCATTAAATTCATGAAACAACTTCTTTTGGTTCAGTTCATGTTTTAGGCATTTGATAAATTGTGCATAAGATCTAGAAGAAACAATAAACCCTATAGCATTTTTCAACACTTAATTGGTTTCCATCTATGTTCCCATTGTACTAAATATACTTGTCCTCCCAACAAAAAAAAAAAACAAACTGAAAATCTACCAATTAATTTTAGTTGGCCTTATGTAGACAATGTTAAATATCTTATTTTCAGAAATTGATGTTGATTCTTTTTTCAAATTAATTTAGCTTGCTATTAATAAAAAGTAGAATTAAGATATATGGTTTATAACATTTCTTTGACTTAAGTATTAGATATTTGACTTGAGAGAGTGGATGAATATTGTCAATTAACGAACATGACAAAAGGGGAATCTGTTTCTCACCGATAACATTTCTTTGACTTCAGTATTAGATATTTGACTTGAGAGAGTGGATGAATATTGTCAATTAACAAACATGACAAAAGGGGAATCTGTTTCTCACCTATAGTTTTAAGTGTAAAACCCCTGATAAGATTGAACCAAAGGAATGTTGTTGCCAACAATATACCAGTAACATGACAACAATCTGCCAGTCACATGACATAAAAGTGCCAATAATCTACCAGTCACATGACATAAAATGACAACAATTTACTAGTCACATGACATAAAAGCGACAACAATCTACCAGTCACATGACAACAATCTATACCAGTCACATGACATAAAAGTGACAACAATTTACCAGTCACATAACGTAAAAGTGACAACAATCTACCAGTCACATGACATAAAAGAGACAACAACCTACCAGTCACATGACATAAAAGTGACAACAATCTACCAGTCACATGACATAAAAGTTACAACAATCTACCAGTCACATGACATAAAAGTGACAACAATCTACCAGTCACATGACATATAAAAAGTGACAACAATCTACCAGTCACATGACATAAAAGCGACAACAATCTACAAGTCACATGACAATAATCTACCAGTCACATGACATAAAAGCGACAACAATCTACCAGTTACATGACATAAAAGCGACAACAATCTACCAGTCACATGACATAAAAGTGACAACAATCTACCAGTCACATGACATAAAAGTGAACAAGCTATCTATCAGGGCAGTTATATTGCATGAGTTAATTTGGCTTGAATTATTTTGAACTTGAGCATTTGTGCAAAATCTGCCACCAATTGTAGATTATGTATGAACTGATAAGGTCCGTTATAGCAATAAAGTTATTTTCTTGGTAATTAGGGATTTACACCTATCAGGACTCGGAAATTGATAATTCATTTTTTTCGAGAAAGAATACTTTATTTTTTGGGGAATTCGGGATGACACTCCCTCCTACTCCTACCTAATAATCAGCTGTGTAAGTAATAAACATTGTTAATGAAAAATGAACATAAAAACAACTTATTAATATTCCATTGTGAATACCAGGTGATTATAATCTTTTTATTCATCAAACAGAATGTCCGAAGAGCAAGTATGGTATAGGATGCAATACCACATGTAACTGTGAGAACCAAGCATACTGTCGACCAAGTGATGGCTTCTGTAAATGTTTTCCTGGTTACATGGGAGTCACATGTTCTCAAAGTAAGTCACATGATCTCAGAGTAAGTCACATGGTCTCAAAGTAAGTCAAATGATCTCTATTTTTATGCCCCTCGCCAGTGTTAACCTTGTCTTTCTGTACGTCCTTCCATATGTACATCGCAAAATGGTTTCCGTTCTCTAACTTAAGTTTGCCTCAACCAAATGTTATAAAACTTATACACAATCCTTTTTATTATAAAACTCAGATCAAGTTTGGAATTTGGGTGGCATCACTTTAATTGATCTTGAGTTACGTCCCTTTATAATGGTATATGGAATTGATCTGTGTCCAATGGTCACATTCTCCATTTAATTTTTTTTCACATGACTTATATGTTTTATGGCACTGCATTGCACTTAGTATCCCGGATATATTATATATTAGGTATCCAGTAAGCAAAATACATTGAAGATTCATGAAAAGTACTGAAAGTCTCCATAAAGGGTAAGCCAGTCTGTTTTTAGGGGGGAATACATTGCACAAAATATCTGAACTAATGATAAAGATATGTGGGATATATTTCAATGAGACAACAAACCATAACAATAATAATCCAAAGGTATCTAAAGTGATTCATACAGTCGTCAACATCAACAATAGACAGGTGACTATACATACAGTCGTCAACAATAGACATGTGTCACTACATACAGTCGTCAACAATAGACATGTGTCTCTACATAGTCGTCAACAATAGTCAGGTGTCTCTACATACAGTCAACAATAATAGACAGGTGTCTCTACAATCATTCGTCAACAATAGATAGGTGTCTCTACATACAGTCGTCAACAATAGACAGGTGTCAAAATATACAGTCGTCAACAATAGACAGGTGTCTCTACATAGTCGTCAACAATAGACAGGTGTATCTACATACAGTCAACAACAATAGACAGGTGTCTCTACAAACAATCGTCACCAATAGACAGGTGTCTCTACATACAGTCGTCAATAATACACAGGTGTCTATACATACAGTCGTCAACAATAGACAGGTTTCTCTTCATGCAGTAGTCGACAATAGACAGGTGTCTCTGCATACAGTCGTCAACAATAGACAGGTGTCTCTACATACAGTCGTCAACAATAGACAGATATCTCTACAAACAGTCCTCAACAATAGACAGGTGTCTATATATACACGCGTCAACAATATACAAGTGTCTTTTCATACAGTCGTCAACAATAGACAGGTGTCTTTACATACAGTCGTCAACAATAGACAGGTGTCTTTACATACAATTGTCAACAATATACAGGTGTCTCTACATACAATCGTCAACAATATACAAGTGTCTCTACATACAATCGTCAACAATAGACAGGTATCTTTACATACAATCGTCAACAACAGACAGGTATCTTTACATACAATCGTCAACAATAAACAGGTGTCTTTACATACAGTCGTCAACACTAGACAGGTGTCTCTACATAGTCAACAACAATAAACAGGTGTCTCTACATAGTTGTCAACAATAGACAGGTATCTCTACATAAAGTCAACAATAGACAGGTGTCTATATATAGTCAACAATAGACAGGTATCTCTACATACAGTCAACAATAGACAAGTGTCTATATATAGTGAACAATAGACAGGTGTCTCTACATGGTCTTTTCATACAATCGTCAACAATAGACAGGTGTCTCTACATACAGTCATAAACAAAAGACAGGTGTCTCTACATAGTCAACAACAATAGACAGGTGTCTCTACATAGTTGTCAACAATAGACAGTTATCTCTACATACAGTCAACAATAGACAGGTGTCTATATATAGTCAACAATAGACAGGTATCTCTACATACAGTCAACAATAGACAGGTGTCTATATATAGTCAACAATAGACAGGTGTCTATATATACAGTTGTCAACAATAGACAGGTGTCTTTACATGCAGTTGTTAACAATAGACAGGTGTCTCTACATAGTCGTCAACAATAGACAGGTGTCTATACATACAGTCGTCAACAATAGACAGGTGTCTCTACATACAGTCTTTACATACAATCGTCAACAATAGACAGGTGTCTATACATAGTCGTCAACAATAGACAGGTGCCACTACATACAGTCGTCAACAATAGACATGTGTCTCTACATAGTCGCCAACAATAGACAGGTGTCTCTACATACAGTCAACAACAATAGACAGATGTCTCTACAAACAGTCCTCAACAATATACAGGTGTCTCTACATGCAGTCCTCAACAATAGACATGTGTCACTACATACAGTCCTCAACAATAGACAGGTGTCTCTACAAACAGTCGTCATCAATAGACAAGTGTCTATATATACAGGCGTCAACAATAGACAAGTGTCTTTACATACAGTCGTCAAAAATAGACAGGTGTCTTTACATACAGTCGTCAACAATAGACAGGTGTCTCTACATGGTCTTTTCATACAATCGTCAGCAATAGACAAGTGTCTCTACATACAGTCATAAACAAAAGACAGGTGTCTCGACATAGTCAACAACAATAGACAGGTGTCTCTACATAGTTGTCAATAATAGACAGGTATCTCTACATACAGTCAACAATAGACAGGTGTCTATATATAGTGAACAATAGACAGGTGTCTATACATACAGTAGTCAACAATAGACAGGTGTCTCTACATACAGTCGTCAACAATAGACAGGTGTCTCTACATACAGTCGTCAACAATAGACAGGTGTCTTTACATACAGTCGTTAACAATAGACAGGTGTCTATACATACAGTCGTCAACAATAGACAGGTGTCTATGCATACAGTCGTCAACAATAGACAGGTGTCTCTACATACAGTAGTCAACAATAGACAGGTGTCTATACATACAGTAGTCAACAATAGACAGGTGTCTCTGCATACAGTCGTCAACAATAGACAGGTGTCTCTACATACAGTCGTCAACAATAGACAGGTGTCTCTACATACAGTCGTTAACAATAAACAGGTGTCTATACATACAGTCGTCAACAATAGACAGGTATCTATACATACAGTCGTCAACAATAGACAGGTGTCTATACATACAGTCTTAACATACAATCGTCAACAATAGACAGGTGTCTCTACATACAGTTGTCAACAATAGACATGTGTCTCTATATACAGTAGTCAACAAAAGACAGGTGTCTCTACCTACAGTCGTCAACAATAGACAGGTGTCTCTACATACAGTCGTTAACAATAGACAGGTGTCTCTACATACAGTCGTCAACAATAGACAGGTGTCTATACATACAGTCGTCAACAATAGACAGGTGTCTTTACATACAGTCGTCAACAATAGACAGGTGTCTCTACATACAGTCAACAACAATAGACAGGTGTCTCTACAAACAATCGTCACCAATAGACAGGTGTCTCTACATACAGTCGTCAATAATACACAGGTGTCTATACATACAGTCGTCAACAATAGACAGGTTTCTCTTCATGCAGTAGTCGACAATAGACAGGTGTCTCTGCATACAGTCGTCAACAATAGACAGGTGTCTCTACATACAGTCGTCAACAATAGACAGATATCTCTACAAACAGTCCTCAACAATAGACAGGTGTCTATATATACAGGCGTCAACAATATACAAGTGTCTTTTCATACAGTCGTCAACAATAGACAGGTGTCTTTACATACAGTCGTCAACAATAGACAGGTGTCTTTACATACAATTGTCAACAATATACAGGTGTCTCTACATACAATCGTCAACAATATACAAGTGTCTCTACATACAATCGTCAACAATAGACAGGTATCTTTACATACAATCGTCAACAACAGACAGGTATCTTTACATACAATCGTCAACAATAAACAGGTGTCTTTACATACAGTCGTCAACACTAGACAGGTGTCTCTACATAGTCAACAACAATAAACAGGTGTCTCTACATAGTTGTCAACAATAGACAGGTATCTCTACATAAAGTCAACAATAGACAGGTGTCTATATATAGTCAACAATAGACAGGTATCTCTACATACAGTCAACAATAGACAAGTGTCTATATATAGTGAACAATAGACAGGTGTCTCTACATGGTCTTTTCATACAATCGTCAACAATAGACAGGTGTCTCTACATACAGTCATAAACAAAAGACAGGTGTCTCTACATAGTCAACAACAATAGACAGGTGTCTCTACATAGTTGTCAACAATAGACAGTTATCTCTACATACAGTCAACAATAGACAGGTGTCTATATATAGTCAACAATAGACAGGTATCTCTACATACAGTCAACAATAGACAGGTGTCTATATATAGTCAACAATAGACAGGTGTCTATATATACAGTTGTCAACAATAGACAGGTGTCTTTACATGCAGTTGTTAACAATAGACAGGTGTCTCTACATAGTCGTCAACAATAGACAGGTGTCTATACATACAGTCGTCAACAATAGACAGGTGTCTCTACATACAGTCTTTACATACAATCGTCAACAATAGACAGGTGTCTATACATAGTCGTCAACAATAGACAGGTGCCACTACATACAGTCGTCAACAATAGACATGTGTCTCTACATAGTCGCCAACAATAGACAGGTGTCTCTACATACAGTCAACAACAATAGACAGATGTCTCTACAAACAGTCCTCAACAATATACAGGTGTCTCTACATGCAGTCCTCAACAATAGACATGTGTCACTACATACAGTCCTCAACAATAGACAGGTGTCTCTACAAACAGTCGTCATCAATAGACAAGTGTCTATATATACAGGCGTCAACAATAGACAAGTGTCTTTACATACAGTCGTCAAAAATAGACAGGTGTCTTTACATACAGTCGTCAACAATAGACAGGTGTCTCTACATGGTCTTTTCATACAATCGTCAGCAATAGACAAGTGTCTCTACATACAGTCATAAACAAAAGACAGGTGTCTCGACATAGTCAACAACAATAGACAGGTGTCTCTACATAGTTGTCAATAATAGACAGGTATCTCTACATACAGTCAACAATAGACAGGTGTCTATATATAGTGAACAATAGACAGGTGTCTATACATACAGTAGTCAACAATAGACAGGTGTCTCTACATACAGTCGTCAACAATAGACAGGTGTCTCTACATACA